TTTATCATCTTTTTTTCTCGAAATGTAGAATCTGTTATTACGTTTAATCTGTTCGGGGACGCGATTCATCTCGATCCGCGGGATGACTGAAGACCGCTCGATTGTACGACTCATCTGAGAAAATTACGTTCATTAAATTGCTTCGGATTGCCTGATTAACTTCTGCGAAAGTGCATTTAATGAGGACGGATAATCACTTGTCGCCGTCGCGAATAAGATTTCGCCAAAAGATTTTCAGTAGTAATTTGCAAACAAAAGTCGTATCGCGCGCGTTAGTCGTTGGGAAAGGTGGAAGAGGAGTGCGTCGGACGAAAACACGAAGCACTTTCGTGCGCGATAAAGGATTGACTTCCGTGACTCACTTCGGGTATCTCGTTCGACTTCCCAAGGATAAGCGGCGACGGGCTTTTCAAACGTACGTCTCTTCTGTTCGCAGAAACGCGAGGGAGAGGCTGCAGAAACTGACGGCACTCCAGAAGATCCAGCCGCGCGACATCCATAGCATTTTACATCAGCGGGTATGTAAGAACGAGACACGTAATTAGCCAAATTGCCTGTTAATATCATGTTCGAAACGACTCGATCGGCCCCGCCGAGATACGATCTCGTGCACCTCTCGCACCGTGTATCGAATAAAAGAGATCATCCTTTTACGCACAGGCTGCCGCCGGAGCCGGTTTTTAGATCCGCCGTTGCGTTCAATTTTTCTCATAGTTCTGGGAGTTTTTTTTTTCAATCAATTGTTGCATATGCCTGGCTGCTTTCTATAGAAGAAAAAAAAAAGGAAAAACTTGTAAACGAAACGTTACCGCAGCTTCGTTCCGCCTGGCTTTTTTTTTATACCGCGTTCGATTTCCCCTTATTTTCAGAGAAATCCCCGCGTTAATTATTTAACAAAATAATATTTAATTCGCTTAAAAGTTTCTCCGTTTATGCGCCTCGTCAGCAGCTGCCTCAGAATCAATTTCCGCCCGCGATCTTAATCCGCTGTTGACGGAAATCCAAATATTAGGTTAAGTAAAAAGTCATCGCGTTTTTTTAAAAGACATCTATCAGTAAAAACCGCAATTACTTTTTTATCAACAATATAAATATATCTTGATAGAGTAAAGTTTCAGCTTTAAAAATCTCTTTTTTAAATTATACGATACGACAATTTTTAATGGAGTTATGAGCAATTAAAGTCAAAATAATTCTTTTATTTAATCCGCGATAACTCAGTAATCAAAAGTCGTAGGAATATTTAAAAAAAAAAA